GCGCTTGGGGAGGCAGAAATGCTGGAGCCGGCCCTGGACAGAGGAACGCTTTTCCACAGTCAGACCTCATTAACCAGGATCACTTTGTTATGCTCTACTTCTAGCTATCTTAGGTCAGATTTGTGGTCAGGAAGGAATTTTCCCCAAGGCCAGAATGGCAGAGACCCTGAGGGGTTTTCACCTTCCTTTGCAGCATGGGGCATGGATCTGAACTAAAGTAAATGGTGGAGTCTCTGTATGGTGAAGTCTTTCAGTCAAGATTTGAGGACTTCAGTAACTCAGTCAGAGGTAACAGGCTTATTGCAGGAGGGAGGTTCTGTGGCCTGCAGTGTGCAGGAAGTCCAGACTAGATGATCATGATAGTCCCTTCTGGCCTTAAAAGTCTATGGGTCTAATTCTACAGCCCCCGTATTATAGTTTCTGAGCATCTCACAAAGGTTAATGTATTTACCCTCCCAATACCCCTGTGCGGTAGTGCAGTGCTGTTATCCCTATTTGACAGGCTGGGAACTGGAGCAGGGAGAGACAAAGTGTTTGCCCGAGTTCACACAGGATATCTGTGTCAGAGCAGGAAACTGAACCAGGGTCTCCTGAGTCCTAGGCTCATGCTCTAACCACTGGGCCATACTTCCTCTACTTCAGCTCACGATTCTTAAAAAACAGAGCTGGCTGAAAGAGATCAAAAATCCCAATGACGTTTTTTGTTAACATTTCAACAACAAAAAGGAGTGGGTGAAATCCACAAAAATTGTTCCCCCAGTTTTTCATCCAGCTCTGTTTAACAGTATGTGTTGAAAGAAAACTCTATAAGCAAACAAACAATCAAAATGCTTTACCTACTGTCCAGCTTCCTGGTCATGCTTACACCAGTGTAATTTCATTGACTTCAATAGATTTACTCCTGATTTTCCCCTGTGTAAACGAGAACGGAGTCAGACCCAAATTCTCTAATGTGTTGGTCACACAGTTCATCAGGAAGGTCCTCTTTTCTCCCGGACACTTTTCACCCACTTATCCGCTGTACCCCTCTAAGATACAAGCCTGGTATCAGACTGGTTATTAGCTAATTAGATAGACTCAAGTCATACATTTCCGATTCGATTTGAACACTGTAACATTCATTGATTTTGGTTCATTTGATTTTTGGGTTATAAATATAGAGACATTTTGCAAAATGCAGATCCAGATCTTGGACACTCCCAAGGGTTGTGGGTGCTCAAATCCAGGGTTTGATTCCAAGTCCATCCAAAATGTTGCCAATGTGGTAAAGGAGAAAACTGGAAGAACCATGAGCTTGCTACCTTTCTTCATAAACCCTGCAAATTCCACAGGGAGACTTGCAGAGTCTACATTTTCGCCATCAAGAAATAATCCCCTCCTTTTACATTTCTCTCCACTCCCTCCCACTCTCTCATGCTCCCGAAAAAAGCTGTTTCCAGGCACAACTGGTTTGAGAAACTGTGGATTATTCTGTTAAAATTGCTGACTTTGGGCTTGGGACCACAAGCCAGTTTGGGACAATCCCCTCTGGTCCTTTCTCCTGCTAATTTATAGCAACATTTGTTGAGACAAGGAGTTATGGTCTGTAAAAGGCCTGCTGTCAGCCTCTCATAAAACCCCAGCACCCTGTCAAAAAAGGGCCGGAGCCTGGGAAGAAAGTTTCAGCAATGATCAGCTGCTTTCCAGATGGGTGGCCTTCTACACAGCGTTCAGTCCCCGAGGTCCAATAAACCAGCCCTGATTTTGCACTTTAAAAAAACAAAGATACAAACCCTCGTCTACTTTCTGTTAGGGCTTTATAAACACACTCCCAGACTCTGTGTCAAATTTATTAAGGAGAAAATAATTCTGTTGTCTCCCTCTCGCTCTCGCTCTCTTTGCATTCATATGCCCAAGGCTTCTAGCTCCTAGAAGGAGAAGGGAGAACCATACCATGATTTATAGCCCTCTGGGTTGTTTTCCCATCAAAAACAAAAGGAGGGTGGCAAGCAAGTCACTGAGTTGAGGTATTGGCCCCTAGGCATAAAACCACCCACAGGAGGCAATGTTTGTTCTCAGTCTGGTATAAATTCTGTGCTTGGTCCTACCTCTGCATCCCAACACACCGCAAGGCCGTGGGATCAAATAAGAAAGAAGGTTACCTTGACTGACTCAGGAACCAGAAAACACTACATTTTGCACCCAATAGGGTGCAGTTGACTTTGAATCTCAGAAGGGGTGATACCTCCTTTGTAAAGCGTTTTGAGATCAACGGATGAAAAGCACTGCATAAGAGTTAAGTGTTATTATTAATGCATCTAGTCCAGCCCCCTGCCAGGCAGAATGCTTCTCTTCAGTACATTTATCAATGTTTCCTGCTGTGTAAGTTTAACTATGGCAAGCAATGGGTCTTCTCCCTTGGCCTCTGGATAATTATTCCACCAGCTAACAGAGCTATCTATGTAGGTACTTTTAAGCCTTGCCCATCACTGCAGTAGGGGAGTGCAACCTAATGTTTTCCCTCATACTTAGTCAGCCTACATTGTCCCATTTCATCCCATTATCCCTCTTTATTGTGCCGAATTCCTCTCTCCCCTCCCCCCCCTTCAAATTAAATCCTGGCCCCACTGAAGTCACTGGCAAAACTCCCATTGATTTCAGCTGGGTCAGGCTTTCCTCCCTGGTGTTACCCCATGGATAACTGGAGAGGACTGCTATGGTCCCTGCTATTTAGCCAAGCTGTACATATTTAGCTCAGTCTTTTCTTATCAGCCAATGCCTCTAACCTGTTTTGTTTCTCTTCTCTGAACTCCCTTCAGCCTGCAGTGAGGTTATTCTTTATAGAACACTATAAATGTGTCCAGAACTCACTATGCTATTCCAAGTGTCACCTAACCAGAGCTATGGCCTATTGCCTCCTTGTCCTGCTTTGCTTGATAAAAAGCGTCACATTGAGCACCCAGATATTCAATTGTGTCGGGTAGCAAGAAATTGCTTTTAGCTTGATCCTGCAAGGTGCTGGGCACTCTAGCCTCCATCCGGCAAATAAATTAAACATGTGCTTAACTTCCCTCATTCGGCCTCCTGGAGTCAGTGGGGACTACTTAGGCCTTTAATGTTAAACACATGCTTAGGTGCGTTGCTGGATCAGGCCTAGAGGGCTCAGCACTCCAACTTTGCACCATCAATCCCTTAGACTGAAATGTTTCGGGGGACAAGAGCTCTCTTTTTATTACATATGTACAGCTCCTAGCACAATGGGGCCTCGATCCCTGATTGAGGCATTTAGGCAATATTGTAATACACATTAATAATAAATACATAAAGCTGGCTAAAAACTGACGAATGTTTTTCATTGAACTCTTGCAATTTTGAAATAGTTTGACCAGCTGGTCAAAAAGCAGCAACATTTTCATCCGTTTTTCAAAAATTGGAAAGGTTTTGACCAGCTGCAATAATAAATGGATCTCAGCTACCAGAACAGCACAGAAGGGGAAAAGTGGCCTCTCAGACTAATATCTCCAAAGCCTTTTATTTGTGTAGAGTATCAGGGTGTCTTACAGAACACTAAAGAGAAGCAAGGGTAAAAAAAAAAGAATTAAAGCAAGGGGAATGACCTCTCTCTCAAGCAGACATTATTATATCGGGATTATGGCACCACATGAGCTGTCAGTGGAATATAAATATCCTAGACACTGAATCTGCAAACTCTGATATGCGTGCTTAACATTACGCATGTGAGTAATCCCACTGAAGTCAATCAGATTACTCATGTGCTGAAAGTTACATATGTGCTTGAGTGCTTTGCTTGATCAGGGTCAGAGAGCTCAGCACCTTGCAGGACTGAGCCTTTCCCCTTCCTCCCCTTTCACTCAGCTCGGACAAGGGAAACAAATGAGTGTTGTATATTCTGGTTCTCATGCACTAGCACAATGCTGCAAACCCTGTCTGAGAACGTTCCCATCCATATAAACAGTTTTCATTTCAACCGAAGCCATGAAAACATTTATATGCTAATATTTTGTAAAACCATCTATTTTAAAACTCGGTTTTTGACCTAAACTACCTAACAATATCCCTTTAATATCCTGAATCTGTGTGTGCATACAAATAGAAAATAGGAGTAGAGGATTTTTTCTGTATGATTCATTACATGCCAAAGCAGTTTACAAAATATGGGCCCGATCCTGCAAACAAGACTGGGAGTAGCACTTTCCACTATGTGCAGACCTATTGATTTCAGTGCACTACGTCCAGTACTAATTGTTTGCAGGATTGGTCCCCAGAGAAACCAGTCCTGCAATTCTTATTCAGGCAAAACTCCCTTAGAGTCAATAATACTTTTCATAGATTCATAGTGTTTAAGGCCAGAAGGGACCATTAGATCATCTAGTCTGACCTCCTGTATAACACAGACCATTACATTTCACCATTATTCCTGTATTGAGCCCAATAACTTGTGTTTGGCTGAAGCTTATTTTCCAGAAAGCTATCCAATCTTGATCTGAAGACAATCCACCTCTTCCTTAGATCGTTTTTTCCAACGATTAATCACCCTCCCTGTTAAAAAATGTCTGCCCTATTTCCAGTTTGAATTTGCGTGTCTTCAGCTTCCAGCCATCAGTTCTTGTCAACCCTTTCTTCACTAGATTAAAGAGCCCTTTAGTATTTGATATTTTCTCCCCAGGAAGGTCCTTAGACACTGTACTCAAGTCACCTCTGAGGTTTCCTTTTGACAAGCTAACCGGATTGAGCTCTTTAAGTCTCTCACTGGTAAACAGACATTTCCTCCAGCCCCTGAATCGTTTTCATCGCTCTTTTCTGCACCCTCTCCGATTTTTCACCATCCTTTATAAAACATGGACACCAGAACTATATGCAATACCATAGGCGCCGACTCCGTGGGTGCTCCGGGGCTGGAGCACCCACGGGGAAAATTTAGTGGGTGCTTTGCATCCACCGGCAGCCAAGCTCACCGTCCCGCCCCCCCCCCCACCTCACCTCCGCCTCCTCCCCTGAGCGTGCCATGTCTCCACTCCTCCTTCCCTCCCTCCCTCCCAGCGCTTTCCGCCGTCAAACAGCTGTAGCAAGCTCTGGGAGGGAGGGGGTAGGAGCGGGAATGTGGGACGCTCAGGGGAGGAGGTGGGACTGGGGCGGGGATTTGGGGAAGGAGTCGAATAGGGGCAGAGACTTTGGGGAAGGGGTTGGAATGGGGGCGGGAGAGGGCAGGGCAGGGGGCAGAGGGGGTTCGAGCACCCACCGGAGCCCGAAGAAGTCGGCGCCTACATGCAGTATCCTATCAGTGTCACCAATGCCACATACAGAGGTAAAATCACCGCCTACTGCTACTCGTTACTCCCCTATTAATACATCCTAGGATCACATTAGCTCTTTTTGCCACATCACTCTGGGAGCTCATTTCAATTCCTTGTTCACTATGACCCCTATCTCCTTTTCCAAGTCTCTGCTTTCCAGGATACAGTCCCCTAGTCTGTAGCCACGGCCTGCGGTTCCATGTTCCTGGAGGTACACATTTTGCATTTGGCTTAATTAAAACACCTTTTGTTTGAATGAGCTCAGATTATCAAATTGTCCATATCGCTCTGTCTAACTGCCTTGTAAGGACAGAATAAGGTCCTCAAGAATGGCTCTAAACAGATAGTCAAGTGCTGAATGCCTTCACCTCCTGGGAGAAGGGTGACAAACAACCATCAAAATAAATGCAAACTCACAAGACTCTGTAAATCTAAAACCAAAAACATCCCCAAGTTTTGCCCATCTCTAATAATACCCTATTTATTCCTAGCCTAGCATTTAGTCCTCGTATGAGCACGTACACTTCTGCAGGAGAGAGATGAACCATCCCACGTAGTTTCTCTTTAATACCTAATTAAAAAATCCAGACACGTCAGAGTTACTCAGGGTGAAATTCT